AGGACGAGACACCACAGAAGATCATCGAAATAGATGTCAGGATACTCAATTACTCACCCAGGGGCATAATCAGAACCGACCAACTTGATCTTTCCGTTTCTGCTACCCATGAAATTTTGGGTAGACTCGTTGGTGAATGTTCCATCTCCATACTGCTTAACATGACTGAGAGCAAAGCAAACTTGACTGAGAAAATTTCCGCGGAGCGATATTCATCGTTGTCTAACGGTTGGACTCCAACCTGGAATTGGTTTCCTTTTTGACCAGGTGATATTGCTGCTCCAGAGTCTCATCGCGGCCAGTATGCGAAAAGTCGTCTTCATTCTCCATCCAGTTAACAGAGAAAAGGTCTCCGAGACAGGCGTTAAGTGAGACGTTAGCAACCTTATCATGCTGAAGAAAGAACGACCATTTATTTCACCGAAATGATGGAGGATGACGATCAGAAGTTCTGATTCAGAATCATTCCTACTGGGGGACAGTACGTTGCAAAGCTTGACTCGTGTGGATTGGAAGCTGTGACGTAATATCTGCCACATATGAGAAAATCATGCCCTCCCGGATTGGCCGACGAACGACATGCCCTTGTAAGGTATCCTTACTGGCCTGGAATAGGAGGATTCCCCTCGAACAAACTGCCAGATTCACATGTCTCGACATAGAACACCAACTGTTTATACCTGAATGATAATTTGTGTGTCGCTCGAATGACAGTGGAATTGCAAGCCACATCTTCTTCTTCTCCATGGTCGTCAACCATGATCGAAGCTGTGTTTTATTTATACTCTCAAATGGGAGGCCGATCAAATTCGCTGAGGAAGAATCAGTCAGATGATTTCGATGCACATGATGCTTCGAGAATTATCTCACTAGCGCCGTGATCCACAAAATTGATGAAGACGTAATCGTTCTCGGTGCTTTCCAGAACTTTCTTCGATGCTAGCGACTTATCGCCGGTTAGAACCTGCAATAGCAATTTCGAGGCTGAAGGAGACATATCTTATGTAGGATAGCTCATCTTGGATAAGAGATGGACTCGCATTCAACGAGACTCACTCCTTGTACGTTTTTGACCGTGACCTCCTCGCCACTATAGTCTATCTCGCAACCTTTGTAGACATCAACGCCAGGGCGGTCACCTTAAAGTGAAGGCTCATGGGCTCCTTGGGTGACGAACGAGCCCACCCGTTGGTTTGTTGAATAGCTGTCCCTTGAAGGGGT